CCTCACAACTGTTGCTATATTTGAAACCATTGTTTTGCAGCCACTGTGTCAGCCTGTCTCATTAAGAGGGCTATATATGTGTTAACCACCGCCCATTTCTCAGTTTGTCATACTGTGGTGGCTTCTGGGTTGCTGTGATCCTGGAACCTATGTCACCAATATTTCAAATACCAGCAGGGTCACCTATGGTGGACAGGTTTCAATGGAGCTTCCAGACTAAGAGACTAGGAAAGACCTGGCAATCTACTTCACAAAAATCAGCCACTGAAACTCTCTTGGATCACAATGGTTGATCTGTGACTGATCATGGGGATGGTGCAGGACCAGATAGCATTTTATTCCATTGCCCATGGGGTTGCCATGAGCTGGAGGCTGACTTGATGGCAGTCAACAATAATACAGAATGAACTCTCTCATGTTACTTCTGTATCTTTGTACACGTACTCTTCCTTTTCTTCTATTTCAAAAATTCACTAACTTCCCAAGGTTCACAGCAGCTTTATTTGAAATAACCCAAAATCTGGAAACAATCCAAATACCCATCCACGAGAAAATGGATAAACTCATGGTGGCATATCCATACAATGGAATACTACTCAGCCATGAAAAAGAAGAAACTACTGATACATCATGTGGTGATATGGAGGACTCTCAAAATAATAATGCTGAGGGAAAGATGCTAGAAAAAAGAGCACGTAATGTTTCATTTCATTTATATAAAATTCTAGAAACTGCAAACTAAGCCATAGTAAAAGAAGCAGATCAGGGTTTGCCTGGGATGAGGTAGATAGCGGGGAGAGGGGGATTCCAAAAGGGTGTGAGAAAACTTCTGGCAGTGGTAGATATGTTCATTATTTGATAGGGGTAATGATTCCTGAGGAATATGTGCATTTCAAAACTTACCAAATTGTATATATATGCACACTTTACTGCATGTCAGTTATACTTCAATGAGGTTGAAAAAAATAATAAAGTGTTTTTTTCTCCTTTCCTAGACTACCTGCTATATTCTGTCTATCTACCCTTGGTCCTATTACTTCCTGTCTCCTCTGGAACATTGCTTTTGCACGGTCACTTTCTTTCTTGTGTCATTGCTTTCTTGTATCTTGCTTCATGTTCCCCCGTCTCCACTCCACGTAGGTGACTTCCCTTTGGCTTTTAAGAAAAAAAAGAACCTGAACCAACAATCCTATAAACCTCCTCCTGGACTTTTCCTTGTGTACACCAATTCATCTCTTACGGAATTGTCTGTTACCTGTAACCAGAATGTATACCCCGACCCTGATTTCAATGCAGACCCCTTAGAAAGTGTTTTATCTTGACACCATCATAAGTAGAAAGATCTGGTGATCTACTTCTGAAAAATCAGCCATTGATAACGCTGTGGAGCACAGTTTTACACTAACACACCTGGGTCCCCCATGAGTCAGAACCCACTTGATGGCAACTGGTTTCTAGAATTTGTTGCATTATTACAGTTAACAGAACTCAGATCCTATACCCTCTAGTGGACTGAGAGCTCTCTAAGAAAAGAGAACATATCAGCTCACTGCTTTATGTCATTGCAGTGCCGGGGACATTGTGGCCACTCAATATGCTGTTTAAATGAATTGTGTTGATCTCTAAGGAGTTCTCATCTCAACTCCCCAAATGGATTGGGATTTCTTTTAAGGGAGGCATCATTAACCCTTTCTTTTAAAATCTAATCTAATAAATCTTCTGGATTATAGTCTTTTCAGTGGCTTCCCATTGCTCCCAATGTGGAATTCCAACCCCTTATCAGACTCACCAAGGATCCCTGGTGGTGCAAAGATTAACCATTTGGCTGCTAACCAAGAGGTTGGTGATTCAAACCCACACAGTGGCTCTGCTAGAGAAAGGCCTGGTGATCTGCTACCATAAAGATTACCATCCAGAAAATCCTATGGGGCAGTTCCACTCCGTCACGCGGGGTTGCCAGGAGTTGGAATCGACTTGACGGCACCTAACAACAACAATTGGACCTACCAGGCCTGCAGGATATGGTCCCTGCTGATCTGTTTGCTCCTATTTCATCTTTTGCCACTGTCCACCCCTCCAGCTTTTCGCCATAACCTGGACACTGGCCTCTTTTTAGTTCTTTGAGTGAGCCAGTGGTCTTTCTCACCTGGTATCCCCTCTGTCTAGAAAGCTCTGTCTTTTCAGCTTCAATATGACCTCCTCAGAGACACTTTCCCAGTGGGCTCATTTTCAGGTAGCATCTCCACTCGTGCTTGCCCTCTCATAGCGCCCATCATCTTGTCCCTAACAGCACGTACCACCCTCTGTGGTGACACAGCTGTCTGATTCCCACATATACTCTCGGTCTCACACCACGCGAACAGGAGAGAAAGGATCATGTCTGTGAGGCTCAACCACATCACGCAGCAGGAGTCTTGGATCGTTTATTGTTGTTAGGGGCTGTCCAGTCCATTTCCAACTCACAGTGACCCCATGTGACAGAGTAGAACTGCGCCCATAAGGTTTTCTCAGCTGTAATCTTCACGGGATCAGGAGTTGCTGGGTGGGTTCAAACTGCCGACCTTTCGGTTAGCAGTTGAGTGCTTAACCTCTGAGCTGCCAGGGCTCCTCCCTGGACGGCAGTAGACACTTGATAAACATTTTTGAATTAACAAATAAATGAATAAATTAATGACTCTTCCACAGCAGTTAACACAGTTCTGGGACACACGGAGGTTTAATGAATAATGCCTGATTAGACATCTTTCTAGTCTTAAAACAACCAGCTTCAACCCTACCACCATTGCTTACCAAAAAATGACCAGCAAACAAATAAACATCAACCCCATTACTGCCATCTGGTCATCAACACAACAGTAATAAACACCTGCTGAACCAGCACACCAATTTAATTCTCCCATCCCTAAGTGAGGAGCTCTGGTGATGCAGTGGTTTAAGCGTTTGGCTGCTAACCAAAAGGTCAGCAGTTCAAAGCCACCAGCCACTCCTTGGAAACCCTATGGGGCAGCTCTATGAGTCAGAATGGACTCAACGGCAGTGGGTTTGGGTGTTTGGGGAATCTCTGAGTTATAGTAGCCAGATACAAAAAAAAGGCAACAGAAACACTAGTCGCAATCGTCAAAAGATGGAAACAACCCAAATGTCCATCAACTGATAGCTGCATAAACAAAATGTGGTCCATCCACACAAGGGAGTATTACGCAGCCATGAAAAGGAACGTGCTGATACACGCTATGACCTGGATGATCCTCGAAACTTTACGCTGAGTGAAAGAAGCCAGACACAAAGGGCCACATATTGTAGGATTCCATTTATATGAAATGTTCAGAATAAGTAACTCTCCAGAGACAAAATGCAGGCTGTGGTGGTCATGGGCTGGGGTGGGGGCAGGCAGGAGTGGGACTGACTACCTAATGAGTGTGAGGTTTCTTTTTCGGGTGATAAAAAATGTTCAGGAACTGGATAGTGGTGGTGGTTGTACGATGCTGTGAATGTACCCAATGCCACTGCATTGTACACCTTAAAAACGTTTAACCAGTACACGTTATGTGTACTTCACCACAATACAATAAAAGAAAATCAAGGCAATAGATCATCTGAGAATGTACATGGTTTAAAAAAAATCTCCAAACCTAATCTCTGAATGAATGAGGTACCAACCATCAAAATTAGTCAGCAGTTCGTCGCCTTTAGTTAAAGGAAATAGGACATGCTTCAGACCAAGAAACTTCACAAACTCCAGAAACTTTTTCAGAGGCCTGGGGGCAAGGGGAAGAGGCAAAATGCCTTCTGCCTACAAAATGCTCTAGACTTGAGGCTTGGCGCACCCAAGCTTCCAAAGGATTCTGCAGAGCGAGGTTTTCCGTGTGGTCTATCTATGCCTTGTGGTACACGTGACCGTCTTAGATGGCACACAAATGAACACTGCTTAATTTTAATACTCACCTATTTTTGTTTAAGGTCGTCTTTGAGCAAAGGGCGTGAACACTCGTTTTCATTATGGTGGCGATCTAATGTTTCTGTTTTATTTGTTTTCTTTTATTTTTATTTATATACAATAACATTCACTCTTTTGGGTGCACAGAGTAGTGTACCACCACCCTCAAGATACAGAAGGGTTCTCTTACCCCTCAAAATTCCATCCTGTTGCCCCTATATAGTCAACACCTCCCTCGAACTACAGCTGAGCTAGGAAGAGGAAGGAACTAGTGATACACACAGCAACATGGATGAATCTCAAATGCGTTAGGCAAGGTGAGAAAGTCTGGACTCAAACGCTGGGGTAGGACAGGGAGAGACTGCAATTGGATGTAAGTTTGCTTTTGGGGGTGATGGAAATGTTCTGCAGTTATGCTGTGGGGATGGTTGCACCACTTGGCAAAGCTACTAAAAACCTTTGAATTGTACACCTAAAATGGGGGAATTTTAGGGTAGGGGAATTATATCTCAATAAGGCTTTTAAGGAGCCCTGGTGAAGGACAAGTTAAGCTGCTGACCGAAAGGTTGGTGGTTCCATTCTAACCCACCCAGTGACTTAGCAGGAGTAAGACCTGAAAATCTCCTCCCGTAAGGATTACAGCCTCGAAAACCCTATAGGGTAGTTCTGCTCTATCCGTGGGGTCACTATGAGTCAGAATAACAAGGTTACATACTGTATGATTCCATTGAGATACCACTCAGGAAAAGGCAAACCTTGTAGGAACGGAAGTAGATAAATGTTTCCCTTTACAAGTAAAACGTCCTTAATGAAAAACGTGTTGACTTAAATAACAGGAGAGAATGCAGGTGGACCAGGTCAAAGTGTGAAGCGGGTAGGACGAGGAGTCCTGTAGGGGTTGCTTTGCGGGGACTGGTCCTCAGCTGGGCAGCCCAGTGGATGGTCGTGCGCCGCCGCTGTCATTCCCGGAGCTCAGGGGCCCCTGCCCCCCAACCTTGGAGAGCACCCACCCCCGCCTCGGCTGCACCTCCCTGCACACCGCGAGAGGAGCGCGCGCACTTACTGTGGCGGTGCCGGAGACAGTCTGCGCACTCGTGTCCGCTGCGCTCTGCTCTGAGTGCGGCTGGGCGGGAGGGTACAGGTTTAACGTGTGCTCGGGGACGGTGGTCTGGCCCGTGTACTCTGGCGCGGGATGGGGGTGAGGGGCCGTGTATTCCGCGGGGATGCCGTTCTGAGGGGGCGCAAACTGGGCCGAAGCATAAGGCTGGGCCATTGTGTCAGGGGCTGCTGCTGCTTCCTGGTTACCCTGGAAAACCAAAAACGGGAAGAGGGAGAGAAAACCGTGAGTGGGCGCCAAGCACAGCCATTCCCCACACACAGAACCGCAGTTCCCTGAACACTTCTAGTGTGAGCACGCGCTAACAGTCTGTGGTGGGCCAATCCTAGTGCAACTTCATCAGATCCCATGAGGAAACAGTGGCCATCGTTGACCCCCATTTCACAGATGCAGAAGTCGAGGCTCAGAAAGGTGAAGTCATTTTCCCTATGTCATTCAGCCCGACATCCAACGACCGCAAGGGTCTGGGCCCTACAAGTTTGGATTTTTTTTTCTGGCAGATCCTCCTTGATTCATTCCCACTTTGGAACCAGTGAGCAAGTCATTGTCTACACTGGCAGAAGAATCTTGATTTGAGCCTTAAAATGCCAGGAGGGATGAAATGGAGCATGTGTGCGTGTGTGTTTTTTAAGTACTAAGACTTCTTTGATAACACTTTATGAAGTCTCTCTTTGATATATAACCTCTATACTGAGTTTTCAGCACTTGTTAGGTGTATTGTTCCGTTGTTGTTGTACGGTGCCGTCAACTCCGTTTTGACCGACAGCAATCCCATGTGATGTAGTAGAACTGCCCCAGAGGGTTTTCTAGGCTGTTATCTTTA